TTTTTTGGACCATTTCTCGATTTATGCGTGTCATCCTTGCGCAGGGGCCATGCTAATCTTCTCTGTATCGTTCCAATTTTTACGGATGTCCCGAAGGACGTTTAAGGGTTTAGGGTTTAGGGTTTAGAGGAAATGGCTGCTTCATGTGTTCCAAGATGGGTTGCAAAGAACTCATGTAGAGGACAGCAGGGACCACATGGTTGAAATTGTCCATTTCCCACCACTCTCCTTTGCCCCCCCCACCTAGGATTCCCCGTTAATCCACTCATTAGATAATGGGAGGTAGCGTGGAATGGGACTCGGGACCCTCTCGTGATTCTATGCTAACCCTTGGAAGAATTGTATGTAACCAATGGGACACGCCCAGCTGGCCTGGGCTAATAAATCAATACTGCACATCAAAGAAAAAGAGAAAAAAAAATTGAGTACCCAAGACCCAAAATGGCAAATCCAAAAGATGCTAAGAACCTCGTTCCACACCACTTGAGAACTCTTGAGTTTCAAGTGCGCCCTAATCGCGAAATTGTGATGAATTTACACTACGCCGCCTCCTCGTTCCATGCACACTAGAGACCGCACTTGAAAATGTCGCACTTGAAGGGTAAACACGCTGGCTCCCCCTTCTGCGGAGACCTACTGGCGTGTTTTCGATCCAGTAGGCCAGCACCCAGCCTTCAGAATGTCCGCCTACGGTGTGTTGTTTGGGATTCTAGGGACCGCTCGGGGCAAGTTGCAGTGCTGGAGCGCGCTCGCGACGGGTTTTCAAATTCGAAATTTGTTGGGGGTATAGTGCAGCGCTCCGCAGCCTACAGGATTGCAACGCGTGCAAAAGTGGACACGGGCTTGTACCGCACTTCGACGCATGCAAGTGGACACTGCCGCCAGTTTCCTTTCGTCGAGAGGTGTTCGTTGCGTCGTGCGGTGAGTGAAGTGCCATGGGACATACAATTTTCGTCCGTGGCGGCGGAGGGCTCTGCGCCGCGTCGGCGAAAAATGTCTGAGCGCGAGAAACGCCTGGTGGTTACAGTGTTGTTCGCCGTGTCGACACATCTGCAGCACACAGCGGCATTGCGGCGCGGTGCGGCGAGAAGAACAGGGTGAGGGAGGCCATCGTTACGCACGCCATGGCGGATTCGAATTCCTCCGCCGTGATTTGGGATGCGCCTTTCCTTATGGCGAATGTCATTGTGTCGAGAGTGCTTCCTAGGGAGATGTCACTGTGGTGGATCGGGAGGAGAACCGGCGGAACATGGCAAGATCTCATAATTGACGATGATGTCACCGATGACTATTTCCATGAGAAGCTACGAATGACGAGAGGGGCGTTCTACGACCTCGTGGCCGCGTGCACTCCTTTTGTTAAACGGTCCCTCACTCATTACCGCACTCCTTTGTTGTCGGAGCAGTTGGTGGCGTTCCCTTTGTATAAGTGGGCGAGCGGCGAGACGTTTGATAGTGCAACTTCGTCATTTGGGATGGGGCGGTCGAGTGGTATCAAGGTGGTGAGGGATGTGACGAACCCTATCTTGTCCGCGTATCCTGACAAGATACGGATGCCGACCGGTCGTCGGTTGCTGCAGGTTACATAAGCGTTTGCAGCAAAGGGATTCCCAAAACGTTTTGGTTGCATGGACTGCAGTTATGTGTATGTCGACAAGCCAGCAAATGTGCTAGTGGAAAACTATTTCGATCGAAAGCAGCAATACTCTGCCATTGCTCAAGTCGTCGTCGACCTCGATATGCGTGTGCTGGATGTTTATGTGGGGTATCCGGGCAGCGTCCACGACGCCAGGGTTTTGATCAATTCGTCGCTCTATAGATGTGCGGAAGCTGGCACGTTGTTCTTGGCGGATGCAGTGGACCTGTCATACGGGGTGCAAACGAGGGGGTACGTGCTCGCGGACAGTGGCTATGGACCCTTGCCTTGGCTTGTAGTGCCTTACGGTGGTGTAGTGCAACCTCCGGACGAGGCGCATTTTGACATGTGTCACAAGTCATCACGGAATGTTGCCGAACGAGCATTTGGGAGACTGAAGGGGATGTGGCGGCTGTTTCTGCGCCACCACAAGACGAACATGGAGAATCTGCCCCAACAATTCACCGTCGTTTGTATTTTGCACAACTTGCTGATCGAGGCTGGCATCGAATTTGACGAGCGTCTGCTCGTTGACAGGCTCCGACAGCAACGAGCGACCCATCGATCTGGGTATGCATGAACCTGTCGCCCCTGTGTCGCAAGATGATGCCACCGATGACGCCCTTGCATTGCGCAACGCGCTGAGCTTTCGAATGCATCCGACTATGGCTTGATGATGGTGGGCGTTGTCCCTTTTCGAGGTTGAACCACGTTTGCAATTTTCGGTTAGCATGAGGTCGACGAAGTTTTTGCTGCCTGCTGGGGGCGTCTTTTGCGGGTGTGATCGGATGGGCGGCGAGGGGAGGAGCTGTCTCTTATACACATCTAGATGTGTATAAGAGAGTTGTCCCTTTTCGAGGTTGAACCACGTTTGCAATTTTCGGTTAGCATGAGGTCGACGAAGTTTTTGCTGCCTGCTGGGGGCGTCTTTTGCGGGTGTGATCGGATGGGCGGCGAGGGGAGGAGGGGGGGGGGGGGTCTTATACACATCTAGATGTGTATAAGAGACAGGGGTTATGGCGTGCATTTTTTTGAAATTTTTCCTTTCCGGTAGACAGTATAATAAAAATAAACGTCATGTGTATGTGAAGGTATTTCGTCCCTTTGTCAAGAGCTATGTCGCATGTGTTTTCTTCCATTGGGTTTCAAAATTTTGTCATACGAGTGGACCAGCTTTTCTGATTTGCGTTTGACGAATTGAATTTCATCGGCAACGTGTTTCGTTTTCGTCATGTACTTCCGTGGTTCGTGTGTTCTGTTCCGTCGATAATTTATTCGTTCCACCGACCTAAAAACAGTCGTCAAGAACAGAGTATGTTCTGTGTGTTTTCGCCAAACAATGTCTCCTCGTCAAATTGCGGTTTTGCTCCGTTTCTGTGGATTGATTGAAATATTTGCATCTACGTCTCCTTCGAGTGATGTACTTTAAATTTGTCGTTCTTGTTTTTCTTAAACGTTGTTGCTGGGTTTGGAGAGGGGGGAAATAAAAATGCCCGACTGTTGGGTTGAATTCACCAACTGTTGGAGTCTTCACCCACGGACAGGCAATGTGAGCTGGGTTTGGAGAGGGACAAAAAAAAAAAACAATCAATCAATCAAAAAAAAAAAGGCGACCAATCAAGAAATCAATATCGGTGATTGATTGATTGTTCGATTGAAAGGGAGGATCACCAAAAACAAAAACCCGAGTAATCAATCAATCGATCAATCAAAAAAATAGGCGACCAATCAAGAAATCAATATCGGTGATTGATTGATTGTTTTATTTTAAGGGAGGATCACTAAAAACAAAAACCCGAGTTATCAATCAATCAATCAATCAATCAATCAATCAATCAATCAATCAAAAAGAAAGGCGACCAATCAAGAAATCAATATCGATTATTGATTGATTGATTTTTTAAAAGGGAGGATTGCCAAAAAAAAAAAAAAAAAAACCACGGGAATACAAACAGTGAGAGCATGGTCTGTCGCTCCTTTTTCGTTTTTGTTGAACTGCATCGCCGCAGTCACATGTGCTTCGTTGATTACATCATTTTAAAAAAACTAGATTCGTATTTACGCGCTCACATGGACGATTTCCACTGCAGCGAAGATGATCGCCGGCATAACAATGTGTTTGCATATAAGAAAAAAATAAATACATGCGACAAATAATTTTCCTCTTCCTCTACATTTTTTGCATTCATGGGTGAGGGATGCATGCGACAAAACAAACACGGACAAAAAATAGAGGCGTGCGCACATGTAGGTGCGGGGATGTGATATGATGTTTGTTTTTTTTTCTTCTCCATTGCAAGATAAAAAAGGAGACACAAATGAAGGTCATGCGAACAAAGGACCGAATGACGACCCGTGTCCACACACTGCACACACAAGAAAAGCCATAACGATCTCGAAAATCCATGATTGTCGGCGACAATCAATCCAAACCCTTAATATGATCATCGCTGCATCAGTCCCTCTCTCTCTCTCTCTCTCTCTCTCTCTCTCTCTCTCTCTCTCTCTCTCTCTCTCTCTCTCGCCCTCGCTCTGGCATGCACGCGCGCACGGCTGAGTGGTATCTACAGTGCACGTCAGGCGTCCGTCGCAGACTTCATCAACGAGAAGTACTGATATTCCACTGCAACAGAAAAAGAAGAAACGACAATGTTTGTCAGAAGACACCCTCTGTCAAGATCTTGATATCCTCATGCAGGTCTTCCCTCTGCTCAAAAGGTGCATGAAGGAACGTCGTGTACGTGGTCGGGCAGTGCATGCGGTCACGAAACTCTTTCTCTCTCTCTCTCTCTCTCTCTCTCTCTCTCTCTCTCTCTCTCTCTCTCTCTCTCTCTCGACTGCATGTGCGCGCACGGTCGAGCGGTGACTGCACATGATCACGAGTCCGTCGCCAACTTCGCCAACGACAAGTACCGGTACTCCGCCTAAACAGAAAAAGAAGAAACGCCAACGTCTGTCAAAAGAGACCCTCCCTCAAAATATCGATGTCCCCGTGAAGGTCGTCCCTCTGCTCGAAAGGCGGATGAAGGATCGTCGTGTTTGTGGCAGGGTTATGCATGCGTTCATGGAACTCCATGGCGAAATTTGTGATTAGCATGCACACCATCTCCGCCAACACGTCCACTCCTCACCTGGTCGGCACAGACGTCCCAACCCTCGTGATGTGCATGATGACTTTGCGAAGCGCCCGCCTTCGTCGTCGACTGTATCCGAACCCAACCACCACCGCTAGACATGTCACTCCATTGGCGTCCGCTTCGTAATACCGGAAGTCCTCACGTGTGACGTGGTGATCGAACTCCATGTCCCTTTCGTGTGCGTTGCCTCTCCTGTGCGGAAACTCGTAAAAGACGACAGTGCGGTTATGCACAACACTGCGACAAGCGATGCCGATGTCCATCGGCACCGCCTTAACTTGCTGGCCGATCGAAGTGCAATGCCGATTGTTCCTTCTTGACCCGTTTGCAGACATCACACTCTCCCCCGACACGTCGACAGCCTTCGACGACCACGGCACGACACTGTCCATAAGCACCACCGCACACTACCGTGAAAATCGGCAATTATGTCGCTGTTATATAGGCTAGCAGTAGGTGGCACGGTTGTGGAATTGGGGAGGTGCAAACTGGACGGCAGGAGACCGTTGCAATGTTGTCATTGTTCGTCGTCGACCAGTCATGATTCTCCGGCACCGTACGACGCTGCCCATCGGAACACAGAAACGCCAAACGATTCCCATGGCGAGGGGGAAAAAAAATACGAAATTAATTTACAACCTGGAAGATTACGCCCATTCGGACCTATGATCCCCAACCCAGCGATCGGAAATGGTAGACGACACCGTCGGACGACCCACACGGGGCACTGGCAGCCATGGACGGACAGGAAAACACACGGGGGTGGGCGAAAGGTGATAACCCCGATTCCAAGCACCCCCCACGGCCACACACCTCCCCCCGATCCCGCCAACCTTGGAGCGGCGCCCCTCCTACTGGCGGGACAACGCCTCCGCGATCTTCATCAAAGCGTCACACAACATCCGCTGCCCCACATCCATCATGCCGCACTGTGTCTCGTGCACTTTCACCTCCCTCTCCATGATATCACATTGTCGCTGAAGGACCTTGCACTGGCGTTTGCTGGCCCTGTCCGCTGAATCCACCACGACTGTGGAGTGAGTGTTCATGACGTCTGCCACCGCCTCAAAAGCCGCCTGCCGCACATTTTTCCTTTTCGTGAACTTCAACCCGCCTGACGACTTGCTCCAGCAACCTTCCCCGCCCTCCCCATCGTCATTCTCACTCGCCGAAGTTTCGCCCGTGCCGCCGTTGTTTGCACATCACTGCAGCTCAGAAGCCCCCGTGTCCACCTTCGGCGGGTGGATGGTTTGATTACCGTGCTGTCCGGCATGGATGGCCTCGTAAAGTCGCCGATCCATCTGGAACCTGTACCCTTTCTCGGCTCGTTCTTTCGGCGTCAGTGTGAAGAACGACTGCAACCCGGACTCCTTCTCCCTCCATTGCACCTTCATGTATCACGAGAACATATTCTCCCATCTCTTCATGCACACGTCCCACTCACGGGTCACCCCCAGCACCCCCATCCTGTTCACGATGTCTGTTCATTTCCACTGCTTCGTCTTCATCCTCGCAAAGTTATGGCCAGCCGCAGCAAGAGTCTCGTCCTGATCCCTCTTGCACCAAACGAGGGTCATGGAGTCATCCAGACTCCATATAATCCTTCCACCACCTCTCTCGCCACCCCCTTCCTTGACCTTCCCCTTCCCCCGCCCCTTTGGAGCAGGTTTCCTCGCCACCCCCTTCCCTCGCCCCTCTGGCGCATCGTCGACACCTTGGCGATGATGTCGTCCACGACATTGGCTTGCCTACCCTCCGATGATGCCTGAACCCTCGTCGTCGGTCGTGTCACCGTTGGACGTGCATGAATGTCGGTGTTCGTAGCTGCGGTTGTCGGCTGCAACCTCTCAGCACCCGACCGCCGACCTTCACACCCGAATGACGCGTCGCCCTCCGAACGGCTGGCAGGATTGATGATCAGCGTTCATGATGCGGCAGGCGGACCCCCCGAAGACAACTGCAGATCGAGGGGTGGGCACATCCCCTGCTGCAATTCATCCAACAGTAGCGACGTCATTGGACCCTGCCTCGGCGGCTGATCTCTCATCGACACTCCACTGTCCGATATGGACTGGGTGGAGCTGTACGCGAGGTTGAATGTCGATGGAGGTGGCTGCCAATTGTCATCGTCGGGAAGGGGCTGAAGATGTGGTGGCAGGTGTGCATAAAGTGATGGATCGTAACGTGGTGTATCAGATGGAAAACACCCCTCGCCGCCACCCCCAAAACCCCGTACACAAACGTGTCCGCCCCGTCGTCGCCACCCATCCCTCCTTTACAAGCCGGACGCATGCTCAATCGAGTCGTCTTCCGCTTGCCGGGCACACGCCTTGTACGCCTCGAAGACCACAGGTGCAGTATGAGCAGCAGCAGCAATAGGAGGAGGAGGACACAAAGCAGCGACAACTTCCTCACATACTCCGCCATGCATGTTGCAGCACAGCGCAGACAACAGGAACCGACAACGAAGGTTTGCAGAAGCACGTGCGAACGCCGGTGCACGAACCTGCAGCAACCGTGCTCGTCTT